TCCCACTCCAGGGGAAGGATACTGCAAAATCTCCATTCCCTCCCCACTCCAGGGGAAGGATACTGCAAAATTCTCATACCCTCCCCACTCTTGTCAACCTCTTGCCCCCCCCCCCAAAAAAAAAAGAATCTGGGTCCTCATATTTACCCACCTCGGAAGGATTGAAAGCTGACTCAATCTTGAGCCGGTCAGGATTGAACTCCTGTCAGTGGGCATAATTAGCATGCAATACTGCATTCTAAGAGGGAGGGAGGAAGGAAGATAACAATAGCGCTTAGACTTATATTCCATTTCTCAGTGCTTCACAGCCCTCTCTAAGCAGTTTACAGAGTCAGCCTTTCACCCCCAACAATCTGGGTCCTCATCTTACCAACCTCGGGAGGACGGAAGGCTGAGTCAGCCTTGAGCCTGGTGGGATTTGAACTGCCAAATTGCAGGCAGTCAGCAGAAGTAGCCTGCAGTACTGCACTCTAACCACTGCGCCACTGTGGCTCATAATGAAGTAATGAACAACTGCAGCTATTTGCTTAAGAACTGTGGCTTTTGGGTCGAAAGTCATTTGACAACTGTCTCGCTTAGCAACAGAAATCTTGGGCTCAGTGTTGGCTGTAGGTCGAGGACTATCTCCATATCCAAGTCAGTGGGCTCTAAAGCACAAGGCAGCCAACACGACGACCTCTCCAGCCCATTGTCTTCAGTTTGTTGACCAGTAAAATGAAAGGTTACCTTACCCTAAGTGGGGCATTCTGCCTCTCTGCCTCATTCAACACTTCCGGGGGGGGGGGGCTGATTTTGGGAGCGCTGACGTTTTTCTCTCTTCCCTTCAATCCAGGTATGTGCGTGGAAAAAAGATGTTAGAGGCTCAGCACGAAAGGGATGTGGCCGGATTGCCTGGAACAGACCGAGGTGGTGAGGAACAGCACTTTTGATCCAGGCTAAGGAGGGGGCGGCTTAGCCGTTAAGGTGCTAGCTTTGTTGACCAGAAGATTTGGCAGTTCGAAACCCCAGCGCCATGTGATGGTGGGAGCTCCCGTTCCTAATCTATAAAGCCACACCTAGAGTACTGCATCCAGTTTTGGTCACCACACTATAAAAAAGTGGTTGAGACTCTAGAAAAAGTGCAGAGAAGAGCAACCAGGGTGATTAGGGGACTGGAGGCTAAAACACACAATGAATGGTTGCAGGAACCGGGCATGGCTAGTCTAGTGAAGAGAAGGACCAGGGGAGACAGGAGAGCAGCCTTCCAATATTGCCACAGTGAGGAGGGGGATTAAGCTATTTCCCAAAGCCCCCGAAGGCCAGACAAGGAATAATGGGTGGAAACTGACCAAGGAGAGATTCAATCTGGAAATAAGGAGGAATTTCCTGACAGTGAGAACAATCAACCCATGGAACAGAAGTTGCCTTTGGAAGTTGTGGGAGTTTCATCCCTGGAAGCTTTCAAGAAGAGACTGGACTGCCATCTGTCAGAAATGATGCAGGGTCTCCTGCTTGGGTGTGGGGTTGCACTAGATGACCTACAAGATCCCTTCCATCTCTATTCTGATTGATTGATTGATTGATTG